TCAGCAGCACATTTTTACAATTTTATGACGCCATACACACCATTTTGTTTTATTTATTTCGTTGCGATTACATTTTATGAGCTACAAGTACAAATTTATTTACTGAATCTCAAAAATTCATAAGTAATAAACATAAAAATCGCTAACATTGCTGACTGCGTATATTTTATGATATTTATGCTATTCGCGCGTAAAAGTGTTATTTTCGCATCGGGTCTGTTGATGTAAATGGAAGTAATTTCCCATATTTATGTCTGCCGGAAAGTTGTATACTGTCAAAAATTTTCAACAGAATTTTGTTGCATCATTTAAGATAACGTCTGTATTCTGGTTCTGTAGTTAAAATTATAAAGAAAATAAAGCGTGTTCAGTTAAAAACCCAAACATTATTTTATATCCTTGGATATACGTATCTTGGATCTATCTATTGGATTTAGTACTTAACTAGGCCACGGTGGGATTAGGTGTCACGTGGTCTCACTGAAGCTTTGTAATTTTGAAACAACGAAGCATAAGCATCTACTTTTCCCGAGATAAATTGGTGCTTATGTTTCTCTCTAGTTCATAAAACAGCGTGACGATTTCTATAAACGTTTAAATGAGGGGTATTAACTTTATTAAAAAAACAATTATAATAAATATCCAGTCCAGTCCTTCCAGTTTATATTGTACAATAATTTCTTAAAAAAGAAATCAAAAGTTGATATTGACGACATTATAATAAACAAAGCACACAATAAGATTGTTGGCATTAAAGTAGCCAATTTTTTTACAAAAAGTAACCACTTTTAATAAATTTGCACCAAAAAAAATACTTCACGTTTCATTCTTTCAGTTTCTTTGTGTATTTCGATTATTTGGAAGAAAGTCATAATTAGCATTTTCTACTATAGGAGAGGCCAGTGCGCGAATTCAAAACACTATACGAGTATGTATAAGTACACAGTGCCTTGACGGGAGTTACTATCTAGAACTTATAAGCGCAGCGGAAATTTTGTCTTTTTATTTGAAACATCAGATGGTCCATTTTAAATGTCATTAAGCATTAGGATCAAGCCCACTGAGTTTCTCGCCGGATCTTCTAAGTGGGTCGCGCTTCCGACCCGGTGGTAGATTCTGCGAAGCACTGCTCTTGCTAAGGGCCAGTGCTAGCTACATTTCTGGTTTCAGCCCCGAGAGCTCACCTACACGCTAGGGTAAAGATGAAATAGCCTCTCTAAGCTATCAGCATAGGTAGGGAAAAGAAAACAAAAAAAAAATTAGGAACAAATGCGATCTCCGCTTATTGCCATTTAATATAGGTACAAATGTTTTCCGTTCTTTTCGATATGGATACTGATGCTAGGCTAAAAAAAATTACACTTACCCTATATTGTTTAATTTTAATGTTTATCCATTTTAAAACACCGATGACAAAAAGCTTAGAGTTTCCAACATTATTATATATTTCTTACTTTGGAAGAGAATCAAATATTTATAACTATTTATTCATTTTGACTTTTTATTTAGATGTTCCCAGTCTGGTCTACAGTTACTCTTGCGATATGAATCGTTTGATGAATATCGTTCATTACGCGCTCTATTTGGGAGCTAGAGAGGCACTAGAACTTAGCAATTAAAAATATCTATATTTTGTTCTTCAGTACTATTAATATAAATGTCATATAAAAAAAATGTCTTTGAAGAGTCAAGGATTGCAGAAAAACCGTAACAGATTGTATGGAAGACAGCCAAGTAACGTAATTTTGGTTAATGCGTCATGAATAATTTTACTGATTGGAATATAAAGCCAGTCACAGAAGAGCTCCAATCTGCATTACTAATGGTCACTAAGGAAGATTTTGCATTTTTGTTGTAATGTCGTTAGCCCGCAGCCGCATACCGCATGTTGCTATAACATACATTCGAATTCGGAATTTTGCGATTTATTGAGGCAAAATAAAAAATAAAATCAACATCCGCTATCTGATGAACATTCTGGACCAAAAATCCTACCAAAAAAACATTTTTGTTGTTTTTTTTTAATAGCCGTATTGGCAGACGAGCGTACGACGCACCTGATAGTGAGTGGTTACCGTCTCACCGTCGCTAATGGACGTCAGCAATGCCAGGGGAATAGTCAAGCCGCTGCCTACCGTTTAATACTCTCCACAAGCCTCGTTTGAAGAAAGACATGTCATAGCGTTCGGGAAACAACGTAAAGGGAAGCTCGTTCCAAAGCCGAACGTTACGTGGCAAAAAAGATCTCTGGAAACGCACTGTGGATGAACGTAGTGGCTCCAGGTAGTATGGATGAACTCTACTCCGGTGGCGGGCGGTGAAATGGTAAAAACGATGATGTTATCATCTCAAACAATACAAAATACAGAGGGAACCGAAGTCCTTTCGCAGACCCAGAAGTTCCAAACGATCCGTTAGAATGGGATTATCGACAATCCGAACGGTTCTCTTCTGTATGGAGACAAATGGAAGTAGCTGGTATTTGGGAGCCCCGGCCCAGAGGTGGGAGCAGTACTATACGCGAGAACGGACCTGTGGCTAATATTAGCTATACTCAAATAGCACAGCCGTGTTAAGATGTTTGTTACTGGTGACCATACACAGATGCAGCCACCTGCTTAAATCCATGTAATCGAAGCAGTTGCACGCAGTGGTCCGGTCATCGTTCTCGTCGAACCCGTCGCTTGCGACGAAAAATTAACCCTCAGACACAGCCCACTAAGTTTCTCGCCGGATCTTCTCAGTGAGTCGCGTTTCCGATTCGGTAGTAGATTTTGCGAAGCACGACTCTTGCTAGGGTTCGTGTTAGCAACGTCGTCAGGTTTGAGCCCCGTGAGCTCACCCACTAGTTAGGTTACGCTGAAATAACCTCTCAGGACTATCAGCTTGGGTAGGCAAAAAAAAAGAAGTTGCATTCCCATCATAATATAAAATAATAAACTTATTTCCACTTAAACCATGTTTCAACATAATATAAAAAAAATACGGGAAACTGTTCAGTCAACAATCCAATTTTATTTTGTATAATAAAACTTTAAACATCAAACTTATTCGCAATTAAATTTTACAAATGTTGTCGTCCATAGTTTTTTATATCGCTCTGTTCATAAAATAGTTAAATTTATGGATGTCACATTAACCTCGTGAACTTTATTATAGTAAAAGCAACTTTATTAGTTTAGATAGACATTTTAGGACACAATTCGGCGAAAAAAATACGGCCTAAATACAAATGCATTAGGTTGTTTCTCCGCCTCTTCTTTGTGTTAGTAATTATCAACCCTTTTCCTGGTTCGTAATACGATTAATTAATTAAAAAAACTATTCAACGAAAACATTAATTGGTGGTAACAAATTACAGAGCACATTATTTACAGAACTGTCCAAAAAATGTAGTCTTCTTCGAAAGAATGATAATTACGTATATGATATATTTTGAAAATAGTTAAACGAATCATAAAATGCTAATAAAGTTGGTATGTAGTTATTGCAGATAAATTTCAGTAATAATAGTGAAGAAGAAAAAAAAAATCAGTATTTTATTATTTATAATAAAAATATAATATATTTTCAGTTTCCTAGGTGATCTGGAGGTGCCACAAAAATCACTTCAATTATGTAATTTATCATTGTTTCACGTTTTTCGGTATAACTAACCATAAATTAAAAGAATAAAAAAGTCTTTACGAGTATAAATGAATTTATATGTTTACATTAATGATTATTCAATTCTAAATATCGACATCACAGTATACTATACAACTTAACAATCCCAATTCAACAAAAAAATCTCTAATAATTCACGTTCGGCATATGCATTTACGACAGACGTATAAATATAAAAATAGATTGAACGTGCGAACAGAGCATCGTGCTCTGGGATTAGTATTGTCCGATCTTCGATAGAAAAAACAAGTATCAAACGAATATCCGTCGGAAGATTTTCAATCGGTCAATGTTTACGTTAACAGCGTTCGCGATGTTTTAGCGCAGTGTCATGGTGAGAGTGTGTAATATCAGACATATTGTGGCACCACGACAAAGGTGTCCTTCTTCGCAGTGAATACGTAAACCTGTGTCTTCAACGGGTCGAATTGAACTAAGTTCGATTCACCCCACTCGGAGATTCGCCCCAGAGAGTTCTCCATTTCAGACACAAGTTTAGATCGTCTCTCTTGCACCACGCTCCGAGAAAATACATCTTTTATATACGAAAGTGTTTAAAACGAACCTGAAGTGATTTGTTATTTAAAAAAAAAACTATAAATTCGTAAAACTATAAGTGACAATTATGCATGTGTGCATTTTATCGTATTCAAAAACTTGCTATGAATAAAAAAGGGAAATACGTGAAAGATATAGCAAATACAGATAAAATGACGTATTGAAACATATGTGTTGCAAAGTTATGAAAACGATATTACGTTTTTTTCATCACACATATCGAGAGATGAGAGGTTATTTGGTTTAAACGACGTTTCGCTTAATGCGCCACATTTATCCTTGTAATTAGAGGTCCGTTTTATTTGATACTAGCTGACCCGGCAGACTTCGTAGTGCCTCAATCGATAAATAAAAAACCTAAACTTTTGTATAAAATAAACTTAAAACAAACAAAAGGAATCCGTCCGACGGGGGACACATCAAAGGAAAAACAAAATTGTTTGTATTTATATAATATCCCGAGCTTTTTTATATTTTCTCACCTTTTAAACCTTTTCTGGATTTCCACGAATAATTCAAGACCGAAATTAGCCTGATCCAGCCGTTCCCGAGTTTTAGCGAGACTAACGAACAGCAATTCATTTTTATATAAATAAAGATTAGTATCAACATTTTAATATGTTTAATTGAACTTCAACCAACTTTTTCCGAATTTTAAACTTTAAATGGCCCTCCTGTAAAGTTACAAAAGTGTCGTTTAATCCTAATAGCTTTTCACCCCTCGATATAATAATAAACTTTTTCGGGCATATTCATAAAGTGCAAAGTGTATAGTGATTTAACGTTGTTTTCCAATAATAAATAAACATAATGAAGAGACGAAAAAAAGAGAACAATGTTCACGTTCGTTTTAACATCAGCCATATCGTGAGTAAATTTTATTAAGTAAAATTATTTAGACTTTGATTTTGTTATAGAGATATGAGATAGACTTTGTTAGTTATAGGCACTTACTAAAACTAGTTACTACTTTTTTACTGGTGGCAGGACCTCGTGTGAGTCCGGGCGGGTAGATATCACCACCCTGCCTATTTCTGCCGTGAAGCAGTAATGCGTTTCGGTTTGAAGGGTGGGGCAGCCGTTGTAATCATACTTGGGACCTTAGAACTTATATCTCAAGGTGGGTGGCGCATTTACGTTGTACATGTCTATGGGCTCCAGTAACCACTTAACACCAGGTGGGCTGTGAGCTCGTCCTCCCATCTAAGCAATAAAAAAAAGGATGTTATTTATGAGCTACTATCTAATACTCCGGTCTCCGTTTTTTGTTGTAGCCTAATCGCGTTATTCCTTTTTCGGGTAGATATTGATCCCTGAGGCCGATTAGTTCAGATCACCTAAAGACCCAATCGTTCGCGACCACAAAAACTATAGAGTACATATTTCATTAGAAAAATTGGTACCCGCCTGAGATTCGAACACCGGTGCATCGTTCAACACGAATGCACCGGACGTCTTATCCGTTAGGCCACGACGACTTCAGAATCCTCTAGTAAATACAATCACCACGTATCCAGGAGATGTGATATTTTGCAATATTTTTTTCTACTAGCGTATATGAGTTCACAGTTATTTAAAAAAATAGTTATAATCAGTTGGTAACTACCGTCATTCTGCATTTTTGACACTTTAAACAGAATTAATACGCATTTTTTTAAATTACCACCCATCTTTAATCAGGGTCCACTCTATTAATGAAACGTACTAATCGAACCAGTGACTAATTTCCATAGCCAGATAAAGAACAAATAAACCCACGAACCGGAGACCCTTATCTTAGTAGTAAGAGACGCAAACGAGTGCCCCAAAAAGTTAATCGAATTATGTACCAACTAGTTGCCGAAAAGCTCTTGACCGAAAAGAATAGAATTTAAATAAAAGACCTATACTGAGCATTGAGTTTTTTTATTTTTTTTTATTGCTTAGATGGGTGGACGAGCTCACAGCCCACCTGGTGTTAAGTGGTTACTGGAGCCGATAGACATCCACAACGTAAATGCGCCACCCACCTTGAGATACAAGTTCTAAGGTCTCAAGTATAGTTACAACGGCTGCCCCACCTTTCAAATCGAAACGCATTACTGCTTCACGGTAGAAATAGGCAGGGTGGTGGTACCCACCCGCGCGGACTCACAAGAGGTCCTACCACCAGTAAAAAATTGCTTACACGTTTTACAATTTATTGCTTACACGTGTGGACGAGCTCACAGCCCACTTGGTGTTAAGTGGTTACTGGAGCCCATAGACATCTACGACGTAAATGCGATACCCACCTTGAGATATAAGTTCTAAGGTCTCAAGTATAGTTATAACGGCTGCCCTACTCTTCAAACCAAAACGCATTATTGCTTCACAGCAGAAATAGGCTGGGTACTTACAGGGTGGTAAGTGCGCGCAGACTGACAAGAGGTCCTACTACCAGTAAGTATATGTCCAGGTGACAGAGGTTGAAGAGAGAGAGTTGCTGGGTATGCGTCTGATCAGTAAAAGTGGTTCCATGAGTAGCTTCCATAAGACAACTGGACATCAAGCCGCCCGAGCTCTAATTTATGACTTTGAAAGTGCTTTATGTAATAAAAGCCATTTTATCTCATCGATAACAGCGGGAAATCGTAAAATGCGTTAATTCATTGAACTCTGACGATGTGTTTGACGGGAATTCGGTCAATAACAATAATTCCGGTGATGCTATATTATTTTAAGTTATAATCGATTTTTTAATTACGTTATAATACCCACAGATGGCGTTTGTACCGTTCAGGAATACTCACAACTGGCAATCTACTATTTTTTGTATGCTGGGGTATTGTTGCAGTATTGGCTACTAATATCTTCTCACCATTTAGGCCAAGCTCATTTGCTCTGCTAATTCAAATATATTTATAATACAATCTAAGTATTAACTTAATCTTGTTATAAATCATCCAAACTGGTTACTGGTGGTAGGACCTCTTGTGAGTCCGCGCGGGTAGGTACCACCGCCCTGCTTATTTCTGCCGTGAAGCAGTAATGCGTTTCGGTTTGAAGGGTGGGGCAGCCGTTGTAATTATACTTGAGACCTTAGAACGTATATCTCAAGTTGGGTGGCGCATTTACGTCGTAAATGTCTATGGGCTCCAGTAACCACTTAACACCAGGTGGGCTGTGAGCTCGTCCACTCATCTAGCAATAAAAACTAAGTATCAACTGAACCTTGTTTTAAATGATCCAAACTACACATAATCTTTACTGTAGTGATATTTGTTGTTTTTTTTTTTGGTATTTTTTATTTTATTGCTTAGATGGATAATATAAGTATGATTTACATTTCCGTAACGCAACATTTCGTTTTCAACAATTCCAATGAAACGTATTTTTAGTTTACAAAAATGATCAAACGAGTGATGTTCTATATCTATTTACGTCATACGTATATTACGTTTTCATTTCAGAAGCATAGTATCGGTAATTTTTATTTATGAACTTAAATTATCAATTTATTTGTTTAAAAATATCCGCACTATTCGATCGCGTATTATAATGGTATTTATATTGGTTTTAAAAGCTATAGTTTACTTCTGACTAATCTTTCAACGTCCTTCGTTCAAAAGAGTTTTAAATTTAAAACATTGAATTTCAAAAGCGAATGGTTTAGTGGAAAACGAATTGTTTCTTGAGAGCAGGAAGCAGTTAAATCGATACTGTTAACTGCAAGACGAAAGCTTGACTGAAAGCGCGCTCGCATTTATCTCCCAAAAGCACAACGATAGATTTTAGATCACTATTTTTTGTCAAACCATCGGTTAGAAGATTTTTAAATACTGTCTTTTAAGTAGTACATTATTGTATTATTGTAACCTCTTAATAAAAAATAAAGATGCATGTGACTAGGAGATGTGTGGAAATTGTAGTTAGTGCAAAGTAAAGGGAGAAGAGGTCGACCGAAGAAGGCATGGATGGAGTGTGTGAATGACGATATCAGAGAGAGAGAGGAGTGAGTGTTGAGATGACGGCTGATAGAAGAAAATGGAAGAGAAACATTTGCTGTGCCGACCCTATCTAGTGGGATAAGGTGGAGAAAAAGAAGAAGACTAAATAAAAAATAGGTAGTCGAACTCCCAGCCCTCCTTGGATTATTTAATTATCGGTCTCCATTGAGATCACAACATGGACTCCGTCACCCATATTGGAATGAGAGGTTCATGTCTCGATTTAAATCAAATTTTCACTAGCTTTATTGACGTTGAACTAATTTATATGCCAATAAAGACGGTAAGTATAAACTAAACATAAATACAACGCAAGAAGCAATCCACAAAACATACAAATATAAAGTACAATAGCCGCGTCGATACAAGACTCGCGCAACAGAAATGATTTTTCTCGGTCAAAATTCGAAATAGAACTTCTTAAACATTATTTCAACGATTGTCTAGTAAACTAGCATTAGCTTCAGAATAACATTAGCCTTTTTTATGGCAGGCGCGTTCTACATATTCGCAAATTATGACGAATGAGTGTTTATATCACTAGGAACTCACGAACAAGAAAATAGGCGAACAATGTATTTAAAATAGTCAAACATGTAACGGGTAAAGACAGCGAGCGACCTCTTTGCAAAATACATGCAAATTTAATATCGCTTAAGAAGCTCTTGGGACGTAAAAATAAAATTAGCTACAAGAAAACAAAAAAAGTGTATTTTATTTGACTAATTTTTTTTTAAGTCATTGAAATGGCTCTTACTAACACACATACTCCACAACTACATAATATTGCTAATAATACTTTAAATGTGAATTTCTGTTTGTTTGTTTGTTTGCCCTTCTTTCACATTGGAACGAAGCAACGGATTTTCATGATTTTTAAAGTGATAGTTTTAAGTCCAAACAGTGACATAGGCTACCGTTTATCCCGAAAAAACATCTCTTTCCCACGGAAAACTACACTGACGCTCGTCCTTGACTACACGGGCGAAGCCGCGGGTTAATGCATGACTTTTTTCTTATTGGAACTTTTCAAACCGAAATAAATAATTAAGAAGGTCTTAAGGTAGGACATCTCGTCAGCCCATAGCGTGAAGCAGATATGTGTCTCGATTTGAAGGTTGAGGCAGCCGTTATACTACAAAACTAAGACTAAGAACATCATATCTCAAGGTAGGTTTACTGGTGGTAGGACCTCTTGTGAGTCCGCGCGGGAGGTACCACCACCCTGCCTATTTCTGCGGTGAAGCAGTAATGCGTTTCGGTTTGAAGGGTGGGGCAGCCGCTGTAACTATACTTGAGACCTTAGAACTTATATCTCAAGGTGGGTGGCGCATTTACGATGTGGATGTCTATGGGCTCCAGTAACCACTTAACATTAGGTGAGCTGTGAGCTCGTCCACCCATCTAAGCAATAAAAGGAAAGAAAGGAGGTGGCGGTATTTACGTTATGTCTATGGGCTGTGGTAATTACTAAAAACCAGGTGGTCTTTGAGCTCGTCTACCCATATAAGCAATAGAAATATTATTTACGCAACACCCTGTATATTTAATACAATGTTTTCGAAATTCACAAAACCAGTCAGTCGACACTTATACCTGATCAAAATTCTACACGAATCTAACATAAATCAGTGTGGATTACGTCGTGTTTATGACGTTAAGGAGATCTGAAGGCTTCACGTGACGATTCTTATACAAGCTGAGACGACACCCTTTATACTGTAACAAATTATTGTGAGCAATGCATTACTGGGGGCATTACTGACGATTTTTTAAATTTTGTATATCAAAAATTATTTTCGCTTTGATTTCGCTGACTTTGACTATTATGTTGTTTGTTACGAGAATCGTGATCGTAAACTTTTCAGAGAGTTAATGGAGTTTCCATTATATCACCAT